TTTTCTTACATGCTTTTTCTTATTTTTGTTGTAAAATTTCCTGTGAGATGACTAGCTTTATTCATCAGGGACCGGATGTGCCCTTGATTGTGGGCATCTCAATGGGAAAGCTTCCTATTTGTCTCTCTTGGGACCCAAGGTTGTGGAGTAGGTTACCTGCTACTCTATCAACTCAAAAGTAAGAGTAAATTCAAACTCCAAACCATGGCCGAGTACTTATCTTTGGCTTTCTTTTTTCTGCGAAGACCCAGATAGGTCATATTCCAGTTGAGGGCACTGGATGGGGTGTTTTCTAATTTTTATTTCACATGATATACATTACTTCGAAACTCATGGCTTTAGCCCTAAAGCTCATTTCCACCTGCTCATTCACATAGGACCCTTGGAATTTTCTCTTTGTGTGTTTTGTGCCTAATCTATCTATCTATATTTTTTCTTTCTTTTCTCTTTCTTTCTTTCTCTCTTCCTCCCTTCCTTCCTTCCTTCCCTCCCTTTTTTCCTCCCTTCCTCTGTCCTTTCCTCCTTCTCTCCCTTCCTCTCTTCCTTTCTATTTTTCTTTAAAGATCAGATCAGTATTATTATTATTATTGATTTCTATTTTTGAATGATAGGATGTATTGAGAAGATTTCTGTCAATGAGAGTTGGGACTTGTGGTTAGAAGTTTCCTTTGTCCCAAGGACGTGTGTGCCTATGTGTGTTACCCTAATTTTGCTGGAAAAGAGACATTCTCATCACACTGGCTACGTGTACCATCCTTGGTCGCCCCCGTTGTAGTGTGTGTCATCTGTGCCAAGAGCAAACCAGAAGCACCATGATCAGGCTCTCTGTGATATGAGCACTCTGGCATTTGACAGATTTTCAGAAAGTTTTGGTAAAACACATTATACCCTTCTGTCCTCATGACTTGCTCTTGTTTTCATTCATTGCTGCTGTTGGTTAAAGAAGTTAATGTGGCTTGACTGAAGGTAGAGGTGGTCTTTCACTCACACTAAACAGTACTTTTTTTTTTACATTAAATTAAATGGGTCAGCCCTTTGCCAAAACCAATCTCACCTGCTTATTATTTTAGAAATTTCTCTCTGTATATAGTGCATGTGAAAGACAGGTTTTCACTAGCCCTCCATGCTGAGATAGAAGTGCCTCTGTTCTTCACCAGGACAAGATGAATTTGGGATGCAGTAAAATGGATAGCCACAGATTGCTGAACTGGATCTTCATTGGTGAGAAGGTGAGGGAGAACAATCAGAAATCACTAGATTCCCTTTTGTTAAAACCCTGAAATCTTGAGAATGTTTTTTCTCAAGATTTTTAATGAGGATAGAGAGGGAAAGTTGAGTCTTATCAGAACTTGCAATGGGTTGTCATACATTTATTCATATTTTTTAATATTTTATTATTGAAAGGGAGAATTTGTATTCACTGAAGTATTTCCCTTCTCTGCTTTTATCTCTCTAGAACTATTTCCTCTTATATTTCATGACTCATAAAAACCCTTCTATATTCACTGATCTGGTCATTTATAATTTGGTATTTCATGACTCATAAAAACCCTTCTATATTTGCTGATCTGGTCATTTATAATTTGGAAAACTGTTTGACTTTGGGTTTTAATTCTTAAAACTCTCTTAAAAACTTGTTTTCAAGCCAGATGTTCTGTAAACTTCCTCATTTGACAGTGTCATCCAAGGGTATGCCCAACACTGAGCATTACAGACACTTGAAAAAACATAGGTTCGGGAGGGTACTGGAGCATTAAGGTCAACCTCAAGTAAGACCATAAAAGCAGAATCAGGCTTGTAAACTTCAGCAATCTCCATTCCACCTCAACTGCGGTAAATCAAAACTGCTTCATCTCGACATGGGTATGACAAACCATTTGAGGTGAAATAGTTTCAATTCACATGGGACATTTTGTTCAAGTTGGCTTTACTGATACTATTAGCATAGAGAAAGACTGAGAAAAAAACTATTTTGGAGAGATTTACAACTCTAGAGATAAAGACACTGACTAATATCATTTAAGCTGAAATTCCCAAATAAAATTGCTTTGAAACTAAAACTCAATAGGAGTTTTAAATTTAATTAAAAACAATTTGTCAAGAAATAAAACATACGCGTTCCATTCAACTGACAACAATTATTCCTCTGTTCAGTAAGTATTTACTGAGTCTTCCTTTCTCCTCCTTCTCAGTTATTCAAATGAATCAAAGCACTTCCTGTGTGAGGACTTTGAACAAAATGAACTCCTTCACCCCACTCCTGCCCTTGCCCCCAACAGCATCTTGTTAACTAATGCACTACACATCTTTTAACTCTGCTCGAGCTTTACCTCCTCGGCAAACCCACCACATCTTTATACACTCTGCATTCCTTGCTGTTACTACTGAAGATATCCCCCTGCTTTTATCAAAGGGCAAAAGGGCAACCCTCCTACTTAAGCACTAAATTAAACTCCACTTGCTTTCTCAGGAACTTCACTTACATAATTATTTTCTCTCTACATGTATTTTATTATTTTAACATAGAAATGTTTCTCATAAAAAACCATAGCTAAACGTCTTATAATGAATTTCTGTAGTGACTGCTTTCTACTTCCTTATATTAATACTTCTCTCAACCAATTTCAACTGGGCTTACTTTCCCTATCAACCCAAGACACTGCTCCTGTGAAGATCACAAGTGTCCTCCATGTATCCAAATCTAATTTTCAAATATCTTTCATTACATTACTTCAGCCCCTAGTGTCATTTAAGATAGTTGACCACCTTCTCTTTCTCTTAGTTTCTGTAAGCCCCGATCATCCTGCGTTTTCTCACACCCCTTGCTGCTTCACTTCAGTCTATACCTTTGGCGTTTCTACTTTATTCTATTTCACAACGTCAGAGAATCCTGGGACCTCCATTTAATTTTTTTAATATATGTATATTTTTTAACCTTTCTTTCTAGGGGACTGCATCTTTCCCCTGACTTTAATCACTACCTATGTATATGCTGATGATTCACAGATCCATAAACCTCACCCTAATCTCTCTGCAAAACTCTAGCCTCCACACAAACAGGCATCTCAAACATGCTTGCTGAAGCAGAACTATTGATTCCCCTCACTCTCCAGCTAAACCTTCTCAAGCTGGATTGGGAAGAGCATCCATCCAGTTGCTCAAGTGCAACTGGAAGTCATTTCTGATTTCTGTTTTCCCCTTGTTCCCCACATCCTTTCCATTGTCTAGTCCTGTTGACTTTATTTCCCAAATCACACTTCCCCCTATGTGTATTAACACTCTGGTTCAAAGCACCAGAATTCCTTGTTTTCTAACAGATGTCCATAATTCTGTCCTTGCCCCTCCCTCCTACGTTTATCACACAGAAGCCAAAGAGGTCTTTTAAAACTGTAAGTGACTTACATCACTCTGACTTAAACACCTCCAATGGCTTCACATCACAATTAGAATAAAAATATAAATAACTCACCCTACTTTAAAAATATGCACATGATCTAGTCCCTGACTACACCACACTTGCTCACCTTCCCAGCCTAAAGCAGAAGTTCTCAACCTCAGCAACATGGGCAGTTTGGCCCAAATAATTCTTTGTGTGGGTTGTTGTCCTGTGCGTGGTAGGAGACCTCTAGCCACCTGATGCCAAGCAACTTCACCCCCAAGTAGGGGTGGCCAAAAATGTCTCCAGATGTTGCCAAATGTCCCCTGGGGGGGCAAAATTGATCCTGGATGAGAAGCACTTGTCTGAAATGATCTTAAGTCCAGGCTGTCCAGATAATCCTGCATGCTTATTGCCTAGTTACTATTACTCACAGCATCTACTTTCACTCTTAAAGTGTCCTGATTAGAAGGACAATTATATGGTCATCTTGGTCTTCATCCTATGTGTCATCATTCTGGCCTTTTATACGTATGTGTATGTTTTATTTTGAACATATCAGGTTTACCCCAGGCTTAGGGTCTTGGATGTCTTCTCTTCATGGAATGCACTTCCCTCAAAGGCTTTTTCCTCTCTTGTTATTCAGATCTCAGTTTAAAGAATATTTCTTTTCTGATCAAATTGAAAATAAAATAGCAATCCAATCGTTCTCTACTCAAATACGCATCACTGCCTGTTAAGATTGTGTATATACTTATTACTCTGTTTATTCTGAATCAGTATCTCACCAATCACATAGATAAGAACAGATGCTTTGTCTGTCTGCCTAGAACAGTGCTTGGTCCACAACCCTCCTCCCAACAAGGTTCGATTTCTGCGTCTTATATCATTATTGCATTCTGGATGTTTACTTCATGGCATTTTTCACAAATATTAATTACTTACTTACTAGTATAATTATTTATTCTTATAAGTTCCATGAGGACAGGGTGTGTATCTTTCTTTCTCAACTCTAAAAGGGAGAATCTGTAGTCCCTTGTAAAATGCACTGCTTATATATTTTATGTGCACAATCAAATAAATCAGTGAACCACAATTAGTGCATATGTATATAGGGCACAGGTGGGACATCCTTGGGAAAGCACATGATCTGACTGTAAAGTTCAATTTGAATTTTTCGAGATAAGTACACATTTATCCTTGAGAAGAATTTCACATACATTATTTTGTAAAATTTGTCATATGTATGGTTGCCTTCCTTTCTTTCCCCAAATGATTTTATAAACATTGTGAGTCTTGGCTTCATCAGTAATTATAAATGATGGGGAAAATGTATGCTTACTTAATTCCTTATACTGAATTTCCCTTAAAAATATAAGAGTTTTTCCATTCTCTGACATCTCTGCGAAGTAGAGAAAAAGATCAAGTTCGAACTGGTCAGGAAACCACTAACACACTAGTACGCTTCATAGACAGGCTTGTTCCCCTCAGTTGTTTCCACCGAATGATAAGGGGACCTCAGAGTCATTGTGGTACAGTCAGCATTACACTGGCCTCTGAGTGACCCATTTCCACTCACAACTGGTTATTCTTCTCTCAGGTTTACTGAAACTATACTACTTTAACGATAAAAGCAGTTGACAGAGACCTATAAATATAGGTTCAGAAACCTGAACATTTAGATCTTAAAAGGAAAAGATGCAAAGGCCGAAAGAAGAATTGAATTGGGGGACGGAAGGAAGGGTTTGGTATTCTAGAGCAAGAGAAAAAACAGGAAAAGATTTGCCTGCCATTTGAAGATGCTGGTACAGGCATAACTTGTTTTATTGCCCTTCACTTTATTGTGCTTAAGAGCTATCATGTTTTTCACAAATTGAAGGTTTGTGGCAACCCTGTATCAAGAACGTCTGTGGGTACCATTTTTCCAACAGCATTTGCTTACTCATGTCTCTGGATCATGCTGTGGTAAGTTTCACAATATTTCAAACTTTTTCATCACTGTTATTTTCTTATGGTGATCTGGGATCAGTGATCTTTGATGTTACTACTACAACTCACTGAAGGTTCAGAAGATGGTTAGAATTTTTCAGCAGTATTTTTAATTGAGGTATATAGATTATTATTTTTTTTTTGAGATAATGCACACTTAGTAGACTAAGTAGAGTGTAAACATAGCTTTATATGCACGGGGAAGCCAAAAAGTTCATGTGACTTGCTTTATTGTGATATCCCTTTTATTTCAGTGGCCTGAAACTAAACCTGCGATATCTCTGGGGTATACCTGTATAAAGTTATTCATGATTAAGATAGAATAAAATTAATCAGTGTGTTAAGTATAGTCATATTTTCTTTCCAGGAGAAGCAAGTTTTGTACAAAAGGCTGAACAGACATAAAAAAAGAGCTGTTGAAGTACAGAATGATGGATAAGAGAGCATTTCAGTACAAATGAGTTTTAGGGTCCCAGGCTGACTGGATTATATCCCAGATCCTGAGAGAGAGAACTTTGGACTGAGATCTAATCTACCATCTGCTTTCTTAGAGGATTCACTGCAAGACTGAAAACCATATATTTTCACATTTAGAGAAGAGAAGTGTATAAAGTAAATCCTTAGACTATAAATCAGTGAGCATGCTAAATACAACAAAGTGCAAAAACACATTTATGAGATATTGGTCAGTGCTAACAAGTGGAAGATGTTGGCCTCATTGAGGGGCAACCTGGCTTTATGAAGAACAAGCAAAGTCAAGTTTACTTTCTTCTTTGATTGCAATACTCAACTGGAAGATCAGAGAAATGTGAAATAGATGGGACACCTAGACCCAACATCAGATCCTAAGGACAAGTAGAAAATAAATTATGTATCAAATTTTGGTCTGTGATTGTTTATAAGTAGTTCATTAACAGTAGAATGGTTTTCTCTATTTTTGTAGATATTTCTCTTGCCTAATCCGTACAAATTTCCTTTGCCTGAAGTAATCCTCTCTCTTCTTTCGGGAATCTCTCCCTGTGGAAGCCAAGGATGTCAGAGCTGTCCTTTCCCTGCCGCTAATACAGCTGCGAGTGAAGTTTATTGCTTAAGCCTCACCTAAAACTATGACCCAGCATCACACCTGCAAAATGGCAACAAATAATATTAATCCCAGAGGCTTCTGGGGCAGAGAGACAGGGATGAAATGAAATTAAGTGTGGAAAAATAAGAGATATTAGGTATCCAGTAAATGGCAGATCCCTTTCCAGGCTGACCATTTTGAGAATAAACAAACTGTTGTGAGATTATAGAAGAGCACACATAACTCCATCAGTGGTAGATAGAGTTATGACTACAAAAAAAGTATACTAATAACTGCTTGTTTAGGACAAGGGAGGATGGATACATCTGACTATATATTCTGCTTCTGGGCACCACACAAACTGGGACACATGAAAAAGACAGTGGCAGATGGCCAAAAAGCACATGAAAAGATATTCAACATCAGTAAGTATTAGGGAAATGCAAATCAAACCCACAATGAGGTATCACCTCACACCTGTCAGAATGGCCATCATCAAAAAATCTACAAACAATAAATGCTGTAGAGGGTGTGGAGAAAAAGGAACCCTCCTACACTATTGGTGGGAACGTAAATTGGTACAGTCATTATGGAGAAGAGTGTGGAAGTTCCTTAAAAAACTAAATATAGAACTATCATAAGATCCAGCAATCCCACTCCTGGGCATATATCTGTAGAAAATCATAATTCGAAAAGATACCTGCATCCAAATGTTCACTGCAGCACTATTTACAATAGCCAAGACATGGAAGCAACCTAAATGTCCATCGACAGACGACTGGATAAAGGAGCTGTGATACATGTATACAATGGAATATTACTCAGCCATACAAAAGAATGAAATAATGCCATTTACAGCAACACGGATAGACCTAGAGATTATCAAACTAAGTGAAGTAAGTCAGACAGAGAAAGGCAAATACCATATGATATTACTTATATGTGGAATCTAATAAAAATAATACAAATGAACTTATTTACAAAACAAAAACAGACTCACAGATCTCAAAAACAAACCTATGCTTACCAAAGGGGAAATGTGGAGGGAAGTGATAAATTAGGAGATTGGGATTGACATATACACACTACTATATATAAAAAATAGATAACTAATAATGACCTGCTGTATAGCACAGGAAACTCTACTCAATATTCTGTAATAATCTACATGGGAAAAGAATCTGAAAAAGAATGGATTTACTTTGCTAGACACCAGAAACTAACACAACATTGTAAGTCAACTATACGCCAATACAAATTTTTAAAAATGCATTAAAATAGTAATGGGCACATTAAGAAAAAAGAAAAAGAGCGGCATTCATATTTTTCTTTGCTGATAATGCCTTGAAGATTGTCCTGAATCATGCTTGTTACGAATGGAATAGGAAGAATAAAATTACCTGAGCTATTCATGAGATATATCCTTCTGCCCCTGACCATTTCCCAGGTAAACTTCTTTTCTAAGGAACCCAGGGTTCCAACTTGAGATATCATCTGGTTCTTCTCTATCAGCACAAAAAAGATGTCAGTTTCAGCATTCTTTGTTGTGCTGACCAACATGAATGTTGAACAGTTCAATTCCAAGATTAGTAATAGCACAGTAGTCTGCAGTTGTACAATTGTTGGCATGTTTCTGCTCATGCTCATCACATACTAAATTACTAGTATCACTAACTTCTGATATTATGATAATATAGACCAGTAATGAGTCACCCCCAATGATATAAATTTTTATGTTAAACTAATATATATTTGTTTTAGAAAATGAAACCTCCTTAAAAAGTGTGAAGATGGAGGGATCTTATAAAGCAAAGAGTGCTATCAAACAGTGAGACTGATCTCTGGATGATAAGGTAATTGCCAATTTACTGGGGTTAAGCTTCGTCCTTTGGAAATGTTGGCAAGTCTTCCTCCTGGCTTTTGTCTCTCTCTGTCTCTCTCTCTCTTCATCTCCCTTATTTTATTTATTTATTTATTTATTTGCCACCTGTCTTCTTCTGCTTCATTAACTCATGGCCCATCATGGCTACCTTTAAATGTAACATACAGCCCCCAAATCTATATTACTAATAAGTTGTGGGTAGTGAACTAGTTAATGAAACCCAAATAGTCAGAAAATCTGGGGGGATGGGTTTGGGTAACTGAAGGAGAACCTGCCTCCTCCTATGTATTTTAGTTAAGAATATTACACAAATAGGTCAATGGCACAAAATAGGAAGATCAGAAATAGAACCAAGTAAATATTTGATATTTAGTTATGCCTTTTATATTTTATTTATTTATACGTATATGATATTTAATACATAAATGCCATTTAAGTCATGAACATATATGCTACTGATAATTATATTACTAACAAAATCATCTTGGGAATCTGTGTAATCATCTAGGAAAAAAGAAATCTATATCTTTTTCAAGATTTAAGCATAAAATAATAAAACTATCCAATTTATATGGGAAAACTACTGAATAAAGTTAGTGAGAAAGATCTTTTCAAAGTATTACACAAAACCCAGTAGCCCCAAAAGAAAGTAATTGATTCATTCTACTATACTATGAGAAAGAAAGAAGAGAAAAGAAAAGAAGGAAGGAAGGAAGGAAGGAAGTATGTTTCCTGCTTGGCACAAACTACTATAACCAAAGACAAAATGTAAATGTTAAAAGAAAAAACAAACGATTTCAACCTCATATCACTCACTATCAAAGGCCTAAATTCCTTTACATATAAACAACTCCTACAAACCATTACAAAAACTGAACAGAAAACTCACCAAGGGATATTAAGGGAGTTCACAGGAAAGGAAACTAGCTTTTAAACATATGAAAAGATGCTCCATGTCACTCTTCGAAAAAGAAATTAGATTAAAAACTACATGACTAGCACCCTTCTAAGTTTGAACAAAGATAAAGTAGTTTGATAAAGCAATATGTTGTGTTGAAGAGACTGGAGAAACAGAAGGTTTGGAGAAGGTGTGAGAGTTTAAAATGGTACGACTGGAGGACTGACAATGAGGACAAGCCCAATATCTACAGAGGTACATATTTTGGATTCAGATGTTCCACTTCCAGAAATTTATCCCTCATACTGTTTAAAACAGCATACTGTAAATAAAAAAATAGCCTAAATGCAAATCCACACAGAAGATGCTATTTGTCATATTATGTTATATGCAATTGATGTAAAAAGAAATAGGCTATTCAATTGTAAAAAGAATGCAAATGTTCTATAGGTACTGAAATAAAATTACCTTGAAGATCCACTGCTAAGTGGAAAAGCAAAATACAGAACAGTGTGTACTATCAGCTGTTACTTATACAAAAAAGGGGATTTTTGGTTCATTTTGCTTTTAGAAATATATTATTTATTTATAATATACTATATTATAACTATAGTATAATAATATATTATATTATAAATATAATGTATTTATAATAAATACATTATTTTCATTTATAAATATCTTATAAAATAACTATAAAGTTTTATAAGACACTAACAACACTGATTGCCTGTGAGAGGAGAAATGGGTGAATGGGGAATGGGGTAGAAGACTTTAATCTTAAACCTTTTTATACTGTTTGATTTGAATCCTAGGAATGTATTACTATCCTAAAGTTAAATTATGACAAAAATTGTATTTTAAAATATTGTTACTATATTAATTATTCATAACACTTAGCAAAGTCGTAGACATTGAGTTGATACTAAATTTTGAAGTGTATGGACTAAAAAACATATTTAAAAATGAGAAGTAGAAAAACATGTAAACTTGGACAAGTTTCTATTTCACTAATTCAATCAAATATACTTCTACGTCTGATACGATGGAAGCATGTTAGGTACAATACTTGGGATATAGTGGTAACCAAACCCAACACAATCCCTGTTCTCCTGTAGAATCTGCATTTTATTTTTCAACAATCTGCTGATTAAATTTCATAATGAAACACACACACACAAATAAAGAAAAACTAAAATAAAGGTTTAAGAAATAGTCTGAGGATTTTATTTGAAACTATAGTGAAATATATTCAAGAAACAATAGACTTTTACAAAATATGTTCTATATTAGAGCACGCTATTTCTCTCAATTTGTCTTCTTATTTCCACAATAAATCTCCATAGTTTTCTTCCTCTAGATATTGCCTACTTAGTCTTGTTTGTATTGTTCAAAAATAAATGGGGATAGAAATAACTATTTTATCTTGTACTTGTCAGAGTTAAATGGTAACCTATACAACATATGTGAGTGTACCTGGCAAAGTTTCTTGCATGAACCAGAACAGGTCCTTAATAAATGTTATTTATATCAGAATTGGCTTACATTATAGAAACGTTTGCGTTTTAAATTCCTCATTGTTCATTCTTAATTGAGGGGAAACATTTCCAGATTATCCACGAAACACTCTGGTTGGGTCTGGAATGTGTTCCTAGACCACTGAGGTGGGCTATGCCCAATATCTGGAAACTTCCCGCAGGCATAATTACAGAGCACTGCTGTGAAGACAAGAAACCAGGAAAAACTGAAAATTTGAAAACCTCCTCATGGTTTAAAACACAGTGGGGAATCAAGTGTTTATCTGCCAGATCAATTCCCGATTAACTTTTACACCACCGAACTTTCTTAAAAGGACTGGTTTTCAAGATTCCAAAGAAAATGGAGACAATGAAGGTACCATCCAGTAAAACTGAATAGTTAACCTCTATTCATAAGGGGAGACTGAAAAGTTAAGAGAGCCAGAAATTTAGAAGATCCAGTGCCTGTTCTCAAAAGTTTATTCTCATATAAAACAAATCATCAAAAATTCATTATAACTGCTCACAATTTCATCAAGTGCTTGTTGTGTGTTAGGAAGTAGACTATGCACCTTGTGCCGTATAGCTTAATGCAGCATTCTATCCCAAACTGTACTAATTATGCACCCATCTTTTCACCTATTTTAAGTTGAATTTTTAAGGATACCACTAGCCATGATGGAGAATGCCTTGCCCTTAACTCCTCATGAAAAATCAATCAAGCAAACAATCAAAGGATAGAGAGATAGATCTATCTAGATAAATAAATAGATAAATAAATTAAAAAGCTCCTATTGCAACAAACACTCTAAAACCAACTTCTGTGTTACTTTGTCCTTGAAACGTCAGTTCCTTGGCTTAAAAATAAAAACACAAACACTTCATTGGTCCCTAAGAGAAAGTACTTGGAAAGCTAAAGGGTATAATCTGCAGATTAGAATTTAAATTCTTAGAAACTCAGTGATTTTGATGGGTTAATTAATTTCTCTGAATCTTAGTTTCCTCAACTATAGAATAACCCCAAGTAAGGGGTGGGTAATAAACGAGGAAGTAGAGATAGTGGCATAGACAATGTCTGCCATACAGTATGTCCTCATTCCATGAAGACATCTCTGTTGGAATTAAAAATATGACTTTAGTATTAAGAGAAAACCCATAACCCTGTGTCTCTGATTACTAACAACAATGTGGTAGATTTTTATACTTTTCTGTCTCATCTTTACAATCCACATTATGAGAGGCTATTTACAATTTGCACGTCCAATTTTTAAAACTAGATAAAAAATGAAAGAGTGATGGTAGTACCAAATTAGAAATGAAGATGGTAATAGCTCAAATCATTCCATTTCATGTTAGTTACACAAGAGTGAAATTGCTCTATCATGCTCTCTCAAAATAGCTCTCTCAAGGAAAGGAGGATGGGGGGTGTGCAGCTTGGTACAGCACTATATTGGTCATCTCCCAGCAACAGCATCATATAAAACACTTTCAAAATTAACAAGTAATTCTGCTATTTATCTCCAAAACATAACAGCTTCTGTGCACAGGATGTAAATAAATAGATGCATTTAGGAAAGGCTTACTAACATAGAGGAAAATCATTATTTTTTTTTTCTGTATTTCATAGAGGGTAGTGGTAACTCTCTAGTGATGCATGTAATGTTATTAGATGTGATTTAAATTTATCCAAAATGGAGTATGAGGAGGAAGCACAAAAAGCTATGAGCAAGGTAATCTCAGATGCCCTGTACACCCTTGGGTAAAGGCCAATTTACTCTTGTGTTTATTTTTTTTTTTTTTTTAATCTTCAGATACTCTTGGTGAAACTTTCCACCATTTTTCTTTCAATTCTTCTTATGCTCACTCAAAGTGTACCGCTTGGAAACTTCCAAATAAAAAGGCCGCTGGAATACTCACTAAAGGTTATCTCCACATAGATTTTCAGTGAAAATGGCAATACTTTATGGATACTGGAAGAAAGCTACATCAATGTATAAATCTCTGGTGTGGAGGTGCCATCCTCATGCATAAGTAATTAGCCAAATATGACAAATATAGAAATAAACTGCAAAATACTGTGTATATAAAATTAAACTGTACTGAAGGCTGAACGTACTCAGGCTATCAACAGCTTGTGTGAGTAGTAAGAACCCTATTAAGATCCCTCAAATTGGAGAGGGTAGGGGAAGGGCAGTGGGGGAGGGGTGGAACCAGAGCACCCATTCTGAACTGAAGCCTCCCAGAGCAGGTAACCCATGGGCTACGCAACTTCCAGCTTACACCAACCACAGGTGTAGGTGCCCTCTAGGCAGGGAAGGGGAGCAGTGCTAGGATTTCCTGTTCAGAGAGGTAGGTGTGGGCAGGGTGGAAGCCTCACGGCAGGATTAAAGACCTAAATGTAAGGACGGATATTATAAAACTCTTAGAGGAAAACATAAGTAGAACACTCTCTGACATAAATCGAAACAATATCTTTTTTGATTCACCTCCTAGAGTAATGAAAACAAAAATTAACAAATAGGACCTAATTAAACTTAAAAGTTTTTGCACAGCAAA